TCAATATTGTCCACCGTAAAACGGCAGGACTTAATCCAAAAATTATTTAACTACAACAGAAAGCAAGTTCCTAGAACAGAAAAATATATATTAAACACGAGGGTACCATACCTAATTTATAAATGATGGAACAGTACAATCGTTTGAAGAAGTTTTGCAGTTATTTAATTAAGATCTTTGTACCATACCAAGGGTAGATCAACATTTATGTGATGAGTATTTGATACGCTCGCATTAATGTGTATCAATTGTCATATTATGCGATTTCTGGTGTAATTATTCATAAATTATTAATTTAACTATTCACTAAGTAAATGGCCATATTAAATGAATAAGTACATAGATTAATAAAATATGGGCTATGCGATCTTCTAACAAACAAGGACATTTTCAAATCAAGAGATAATTGTAAATTTGCAAATTTATATTGACCAAAAATTGTATCATATTTTTAAATCATATGAATAACTATTTCAGAACAAATTCATATTGTTTAGTTTGGTTTATATAATAAAAATATATACCCAGAGTAGCTTAATATAAACTAATTTCTGTAAAATATTAAGTGAATAATAATTATTTTAAAAACCTACTAATTGATTATAAATAACATTCAGTCTTGCAAGGTATTTTAATACTGATCAGTCTGATTTGATAATCTCACCAACATAAAAGCAAGTTTTTATTAAATTACATTATATATTTATTGAGTATGACGTTTATACGATTACGACCCAAGTTTGATCATTTTTATTAATACAACAGAATTGTTAAATCTAGTTTACAGTAATTTTATATTATGCTATATTCGTATTATCTACCTATTATCCCATGCAAAAGGGGCCGTACAACAATTGTTTTCTCTTCGCGAGTCTTTATCTGGCAAAAGGTTCACTTTGGACTATAACCTTATAATGTATATATTGATTTATGTGGAAACTTGAAAATGAAATATGTGTTTTGTTCTAGTTATTCATGTAAGATATTTAAACTACAAGTGTCATGTGTTCCGTTATCTTGCTCTAATATATCCTTTAGGTACCAAATTTTGTTAATAATATATCTTCTAAAAGACAAGATTGAAGACAAAGCTTATAAGCTCCTACCTGTATTCTTTAACTACAGAATACATATGTAAGATGTGGTAAAACTAATTTATACTTGACAGCCAAATTCTGAAATCATTAACTAATTTAGGTAAAAAGTAAAAATAATGTTTTATTTAAATAGTAATATAAACAATTTGAGGGAAATTTTAATAAAATTATTATTATTTTATACCAAATAATATTAAATTATAACATATACTTATATGATAGGTATATACTATAATATAATGTAATTTATTATGAATTTTACGTGTATAGTGTATACGATTTAAATTAGATAATTGATAAAGATCTAACTACAATTTGCAATAAAGATAAGAACCTAACTAAAGGCAATGTTTTTGATATTAAAATACGAAATTTCTCTTGGCGGGTTTTTGGTAAAATCGATGTTGGTACTATCTGTAGTATTACACATTTTATAGGTTATGTAACATTTTTTTCTTATCACGCGTTATCATTTTTTGGAAGAACTACCCCCAACTCGTTTAGTGTGATAACTGATAATCGTATTAACAATATAACTGCCTTATCAATTTCATTAAAGTTGATAATAAAGATACTGATAACTGCTTTTAATGACAAAAAGTAAAAACATTTAACTTGAAAATCGTTGTACCTTGTGTAACTTGTAAGGTGTAATATTATAATTTATATTTCCAAAAATGGGTAAACCTCAGTACCAAAAATTTCGTAAAGAGTGGCTATTAAAAAAAGAATTTAAAGATTGGTTGCTAGAAATTGAAGGCGATTCAACACAGGCAAAATGTAGATTTTGTAAGTCAACATTAAATGCTAAAAAATTCGATCTTGAACAACATATGAACAGTAAGAAACACAAAACTGCATGTTCGTCCTTTTCTTCAAGTAGAAGTCTTACTAACTTTTTAAAACCAAATTTGTCCTTGAGTACGTCTAGTGCTGAAGGAAGCTTGAGTCTTTTTATTGCAGCTCATTGCTCGATTCTTCCTATTGATCACCTAGGTGAGCTTTGTAAAACTTATTTTAAAGGATCTGAAGCAGCTGTTGACCTAAAATTACATAGGACTAAAACAACTAATATCATTAATAACGTTTTGGCACCACATTTTACCGATGATCTTATTTCTAGTATTGGTGATAGCCCTTATAGTATATTAATTGATGAATCGACTGATATAAGTGTTATAAAATTTTTGGGTATATCAATTATATATTTCAATAAATCTTTGGGGAATATAGTTTCAACCTATTTGGCGTTAGCTGAATTAGAAACCTGTGATGCACAATCAATAGTTGATGCTATAAAAAAGACATTGAGTGCCAAAGGCTTAAATATTAAAAATATGGTTGGTATAGGCACTGATAACGCCTCTGTAATGGTTGGTATAAATAGGGGAGTCTACCAAAAATTAAAAGAAGAAATTCCTACATTAGTTCTTGTACCATGTGTGTGTCATTCTTTGCAATTGGCTGTTACGGCTGCAGCGGATGAAACACTACCACGACACATTGAATTTTTAATAAGAGAAACCTATAATTGGTTTTCTCATTCAACAATTCGACAGAGCCAATATAAATTACTTTATAAAACTATAAACGATGGCCACAATCCTTTAAAGATTGTTAAATCTTGTGGTACTAGATGGCTTTCGATTGAGTCTGCCATTTCCAGAATATTAGACCAGTGGCTAGAATTAAAAACTCTTTTTAGTATAGCTAGGTTAAGTGAAAAATGTTATACAGCTGAGCTATTGTATAACATTTATAACGATGACCAAAATCTAGCATATTTGAAATTTTTAAAACCAATCCTTCAGGAAGTTCAAGCTGTTAATAAAGCTTTCGAGAGCAATTCCGCAAATCCCTATAAATTATTATCAGATTTGTCAAATTTAGTTCGGTCCATTGCAAAAAAAATAATTGTTCCAAATTATAAAGAGTGTCCTTTAACCACAGACTTAGAAAAACATTTACATCCCAAGCCATATTTAGGCTATTCGTTTGAAAAAACTATTGAAGAAATTAAAATTAAACCAGAAGATGAAACTGTTTTAAGAAACAGATGTATTCAATTTTTGGTAAAACTTCTAAAACAATTCCAACAAAGACTTCCTAAAAACATGCAAATTCTAGAACAAATATCCATATTTTCTATAGAAAACACCCAAAGAAATAGTAAAGACTCTTTAATACCCCTGATGCAATTAATGAAGTTAGATGATGAAACCATTGATAAGATAAATGTTCAATGGCTTAATTTATTAAACATTAACTGGATAGAAAAAAAAGATACAATTAAATTTTGGCATGAAGTATTTATGTACAAAGATTCGTCAGGTTTAAACCCATTTAAGGAATTAAGTTTATTTGCCATTAAGTTTTTAGTATTTCCTTGGTCTAACGCTGAAGTAGAACGATTGTTCAGCCAAATGAATCTTATTAAGACAAAATTAAGAAATAGAATGGGACAAAAGTTACTTGATTCTATTCTCACTATCCGAGCTAGTCTTAAAAGAAACAATAAGTGTTGTTCAAATTATCAACTTCCACCAGCAGTATTAAAAACAATTGGTACACAAGCTACATATATTGAGCCGGCTACACCATCATGTTCATTTAATTCAAATGATGATTATGAAGATGAGAATATTGATAACCCAGACCCATTATCTGAATTTTAATATATATTTCTTTTTTTTTCAAAAGTTTTGTAGGTATTTATTATGTTTAACAGCATACAAATACATGTTTTTTGTTAATGAGATTAGGTACTCCCTAATTTTTTTGTTATAAAGTTGTTTTTTAATTCTATTTCTTAATTTTAAGTTTTGACCTACTGGTTTCATTTTTTATAATATTTTAAAAGAAATTGACTAAAATATTGGTTTTGACATTTTTATTTGTTAAGATCTTGGTATTAAAAAAAAATTGGGAAAAGTTACTCCCTAAATTTTAGTTATAAAGTTGTTTTTTTTATTGAAAATAACAATTGAATTATAATTTATAGTCAGATTATACATACATTAATCCCATGTTTGTAAATCTCATTTACTATTATTATTAATATAATAAATTGTTATTTAATTTTAAGTTATGATCTTATTGGTATCATTTTTTTTTTAAAGTCATTGACTGTAATATTGGTTTTGACATTTTTATTTGTTAAGAACTTGGTTTTAAAAAGGAATTTAATAATTATTTTGACCATTAAATCATTATTTTAGTCTAAAAAAATAAAAATGATTTCTATTCATAGCATGTTTATTTATTTTATAGCCCCAATTTGAATTTTGAGGATTATAATTTACAGTATACATGTTTTTATTAACTAACATTAGTACTTTTGGTATTCAATTTAATGATTTGATGTAACTTGAATATAAAAAACTAAAATTCTGGAGGGAACTCAAAAGATGATAACTATGATTTATGATAAAACCAGACACCGGACACTGATAAAAATTAACACGGTGAAGATACTTATCACATCAAAACACGACAGCCATAGTCTTAGAGCGTCGCAGTGTGACAATTTTCGTAAAAAATAGAATATAATTTTTATACGAAAGTCAAAACAATAATTGATTTAATGACTAGAAAAATTGCTTAAGAGGTTTTAAAATGTATTAGCAATTGAAACGTTTAAGTTATATCTAGTTTAAATAAATATATTTTATAAAATACAAACCGTAATATGAATATTCTAAACTGATAGTACTAAATAGATAAGACAAGGTAAGGGTACGGTCATTGTATGGTCTTTCAACATGGCCGTCACGTTTTTGTTTACTTTAAAAGTGACCCTTCTACTTTTATCTATTATGTGATATAACCTAGCAATTTTTAATGGTTATAGCATATTTTTTCAGTAGAAACGGCTTATTTATTGTAAACACAGCTGGCAACACTGCCAACTACCAGTGGCCTTAGCTGGTGTATAAAGTAAAAAAAAATGGTTAAATATTCTTTAAGATACGACTTAACGCGGGTAACAAGTAAAATGCAATTATTTTCGGGCAAGGTAATTTATCTATAATAAACGTTAGACATTCCATCGCATTATTTCAATTTTTTTATTTCTAGATCCAAATGCATCGTCCACGTCTATGACGACTTCGTCGGTCGATTTCTAATACTAGAAAACAAGAATCGGCATTATGTGGTGCGTAAAATGATTGTAATATTGTGTTAATTGTTGTTCATATGCTTAGCCAAGTGCTATTTTTCATTTCAACACAAAACCGATTGTCTATCGGCCGTTTAACGCACAACTTGATCCATCTTAATAATATTTTTCAAATTTGTTTTCAAAAAGCTGTTTAATTTCTTTTACAGTATTCAATTAGGCGTTGCAAACAATTATTTTTTGTAAGAGTCTACAAATTTACTGATAGAAATCTTAACACTTAAAGCGTATGTAATTTTGGAATGTTAATTTATGTTTAGTCTAATCTACTGCATCAACCATAATGTTATATTTGTTTCGGTAACATAATTATTAACATTACGATAATGATAAATGTACATATTATAGCGCCATTCTGTAGAGTAGGTGGTCCATCATGTATGGTAAACTTGACATATGATATTTTTGTGATTTTCAGTCTAAAGCATTGTCAATTTATTTTTAATTGATTTAAGTTTAGGATAATATAGTAACAAATATGGACGAATCCCCATGCATCTCTGCGTGTTTCATACATACCTAATAACTGATATTAGCTAGATTTTTGACATTTGTTTGCTTTAAGCTTATTCTAAGTTAGACAATATGTTGATGACTCGGAAAACTATAAAAAAAATTATCAGCATGACTGGAAATGAAACACTTGTATCTTGCCTGCTGGGCAATTAATCTACCACAGACTTTTCGACACTATCTTCTTATCTTTGATATTTTATAGCTTTGTAGTTACTAAGTTTGTTAGTAGTTAACCCAATTACAGATAAACAACTATAATATGTCTTACACCTTTATATTGCATGTTACTCTAAAGTTTACCTAGAAGTTATAAACCATATTGTTGAATATGTACAAACTTCATTAGAAATGCCAAGAAGCCACCATTTTTTATTAAAATCAACTCGAGCAATTGTTGTATGATATTATGAGTGATAATAATGTGCCTATAACATGTAATAATTTGATACCTACTTCACATTACTTGAAATTTATAGAAGTTTTATTAAATCATTATAAATAATAAAATTATTATACAACCATATATAAACTTTGAATTTTTGTAATGTTACAGATCAAAATCACATTCAATATACATTATAATTTGATTTAACGGATGCGACTGTAAATTAGTAATAATTTTGTGGACGAGAACAAACACAAAAATCATCATGGTTAGTATTTATTGTTGAAAGTTAACTAATTTAGATCCCTATATAACCTTTGATCTAGAAAACGATTTTGCAGAAAGTTTAAGTCAAACCATTAAAATAAATGTTCAATTAGATAATAATAGGACTAATTTAAACTAACCCTTAACTACTTACAATATTGAAAACCCATAATATAACAGTAATTTAATAATATCCCAGTATTGTAGTTGGAGATTTCTAACATTAAATTCAATTGTTTTTTTTGAAAACAATATTTGTTTATATAATGGTTCTTGGTGATTTAAAATGCTTATTGATGTACAATAATATCAATATTTAGAAATGGTTGTGGTTTTTCAGTGGCGGTCTCTAGGTTCTATGTTGTTGGCAAAAAAATATTATCAAAATATGATAATGACCATTAGCATTACTAACCTTCCTCACAAGACCACCTGCCCCTGATTTTCTTTTTTTAATTATTATTTACACGGTTATGGATTGATGTTTACTATGTTTATTAAGATGTATGATCATTTACCAAGACTTATTGGCGGTCAATCTATGTTTTAACAATTTACAACTTTCTTTCGACATACGATAGAAAAATTGAAATTTGACATCATATCTTGCATTAACTCATTAGCGGCAATAAAAATACAACAGCTTACATTATTCAGTATGTATGGATGTACCCAATATCTCCTTTTATTTTTGCGGTTTGATAATACCAGTATAATGCAATGGTATCATCATCTTCAGAGGATGACTTGTTTGCAACTGAGCCATTCTAGTTGCCGAAACATTGCCTATAGTGTGCAGAACTCATAAAGACAAATCGTACGATTTTTTTGCTAAGCAACTATTTTTTTAAATTGCGTTGAAGTCATGTTGCGTTGCGTTACCCTAGTGGGAGGAAAGCATAAGTCCTATTCATAGCTGTATTATTATTGCCATAATAATAATCATGACATTTAATAAATTAAAACATGTTAGAAATTTGTTATATAGATTCAATATTCAAATGGACAGGTTTCAATTGTGGCTGACAGTTAAAACACTTTAATAAATATACTATAATTGGTCATGGTTATAACCGCCTACCCATTATTTATTGTTCAAAACTTTTTTATGTATACCTACTATTGTTATAATATATTTTATTAATACCTGTTCATAATACCCGTCATTTATAAATATTATTGTTTTTGTTTCTTTTTTTGTAGATTGGTGGAAATGTCGAAGAAAAATGTAATAAGAAGAAAGAATTATTAAAAACAATAATTAAAATAGTACAGGACCATAGTACAACACACTGTTGGTACGATACATTTCTAGGAGTTTTCTTATTTTATTAATTATTATTTTTGATATTTTAGACTTTTAAATGTATTCAATATTAATTTTTTTTTTTTAAATGCTTATTTTGTCTGCAGTGTTCGACGAAGGCGATATTACAAGCTTAAAAAGATCTGCGTTGTATTTAAAAAGTGGAAAACATTTCGTTGTTAGTACAACTCTCGATCAACTTCCCCTTACTCATCCCGTACATATTACTAACCCAACACGAAACACAATTGTTTATGGACGTAGGAGTTGATGAAAGGATAAAAAATCTGATGGGTAAAATAAATCTGTTTGACTTTATACTTTCAATGATTTTATAACATTGCTAGAACAGTTTCTACTGCTTGTATTTTGTCACTCTTTCTAACAAAATTTGTTAAAAATCTAAGTCAAATATAAACCGTTCATTGATTTGTTGTTTTATATTTTTTTAATTACTATCTTCGTACAATTTATTTTTACTTATTACTTAACTGTAAACTAATTAATTAAAATAAACTTAGTTCAGCTGTTATATAGTCTTAATTGTCCCTATTATTTATACTTCAAAAGTTAAGTATTGTATTCAATGATTTTAAGAAAAGGTTTTATGTAGTGTAAAGAATCTTATTTTGATTGATTTTTTACAGGGAAAGTGGAGAGGAAGAAATATTAGAAATGGAAGAAAAAGACATTGGTTAAATGGTGTGCATAATAATAATGGTGTTTTGAAGATTTCTACCGAAAACTCGACTGCTTGATGCTAAGTCATCCCAGAAGAGTGAAATCTCAAAGCAGATTTAGTTGCAGTATCATTCAGGATGTGGATTAAGCTTTACCTGGCACATCTACCTCAAGCAGTTCCGTGATTGTTCAGTAATTTCAACTCACTAAATGTTTAAACTAACTTTAGGTATTTTATTGTTATGGAAATACCTCAAATAGCAATAAACTTGTATAAGTAAAAGGGTGGTTTTTATTTTAACTAGGAGGGGTGTGCAAACAAAGGAAGTGAATTGATTTGTTGACATTAATTCGAAATCTTGTTGAAAATGTCTATATTTGAGTACAATGAATAAACCGAATAATTTGGTTATCCATAGATAATTTATTGTACATGATTAATGAAAAATTCAGGAATTTACAAAAAAATAACAGAATAATTAAAAAAATGTAATTAATAGTTGTATGCATGGTAATTCGTGATGTTTTGCCAAATTAATTGAATACATTTCATTCTTGTTTTTATTGATGTCTAAGCGATAACCTATTATCACTTAGACATATATTAGTTGTGTTCTTATCAGATATATTATTATTATTCCGATATTCATTTTATACATGTCTATATAAGAAAAAAGGTTTATCCAGTTTTTTAATAATAACAATCAGAAAACAGTTTGAATCAGTACCTAACAAATAAGCATAAGCGAGGAGCTTCTTAGCTGTTCCCAATTCTATAAATAGTACAAACTTGATACGCCTACTCCAAATAGTAGTTTCTATTTTGAATTTAATTTAATTGTGTATATTATGGATAGGTAATTAAAAAATGGGAATTATTTTACTCAGCCCTGGTGAACTAAATGTCGAGTAACGCCGGGTCGGGACAGCTTATTAGGTTATAATAAAAAGTTATTCGACAATATTTGATTAGATCAGGTTAAGTTTAAATTTGGCATACTTACATTATTAAGAATATTATAAAATGTTGGGGAAGAAAAAATCTTTCCACTTTAACAAATATGGTTATACTTTTCAAGTTTATTATTCCATCCTAATCTTATGTATAATAATTATCAATTTTTTTAAACAAATGTATAGAAATAGGAGACATTGCCCTTCTTAAATAGCAATAACTATTTCCTGTTTACTATTTGTTTTACCATAAACAAATTTTAGCAAATTGTGTGATTTTCTAGTTGCCTCATTCCAAATTTAAAGATGAGCTACTGACAAGACCAAGAAATGTATCTATGAGCCCCATGAGTTCTTACGTGGTGCCATGTGGATCGACAGTAGAGGTAGCAAATAAAATCAAAAGATCTGAAAAGAAAAAATCCACCAGGAAGAAAAATGAAGATAAAGATGATAATAAGCCTGTATTGAACGATTCTCTAATGTGAGTTGACGGTTAATATGTTATGAATACTACTAATTCAACATTTATTATACTTAAAATATACAACAAACATTTTTTATTTTAGCAAATACTTTATATTAGACTGACCTACACTTAACATTTAATCTAGGAGATAATTTGGTTGTTTGATATAGTGATACACATACTACTACTTACTAAAGTAAGTTGATTTTTAATTGTTATTGTTATTTCTTTTAATGAATACACATACATTTATTGTTGATTAACACAACTCTTCTTTTACCAAATTTCTTAAGTAAACTGCAATTTTTTTAATAAACTTAAAAGTTTAAAAAATATATATATATATAATTATTATAATATTATTATTGAGTTACTCTTATATTATTTTTATTTAAATACTAATTGGTATTTCAAAAGTCAATATTATAGTTAAGAAATTAAATATTTTAATTAAGTAATTATTTTCAGATATATCCGTGTCAATGGTTGTTGACACTGTACAGTCACGGCAGCGAAACGGTCATGACACCCCTGAAGATGGACTCTGCAAAGAGTCCGAAACGTCGGTCAACAACCATTGACACGGATATATCTGAAAATTATACACGTGATATATCAACCCGTGAAAGTTTTAACAGATTCATAAAGTAATTATTATTTTTGTTGTAGGTTCTTAATGTATGCAACATTGAAGGATATTACTACGGCCGTTACAAAGGATGGAATACTCATTACTCGTTAGGACAAATGGATCAATTTAACACGCATTGCATTGAAATCTAAACCACCAGAACCAGATCTTGATAACGACGGTGACGATTCTTTACAAAAGTGAAATAAATTGAACAGTTTTATTATTTTATGCGAAAATTAAAAATAACGTGTAATACTTGGTATCGCAAGTTGTCCCCAAATATGTATGTGGTCCCTCAAATCTGTTGTGTTTATCTGTACTAGTTTATGGATATGCTAAAAGAATTATTTTCTTATGAACAATGACAGGAGGGGTTTATGACCTTGTTTGATATGTCGACTAATTTTAAGGTAAAATATGATAAGTTTTTCTAGTTATAATACTTTTAATGTTGTTTTTCTCCGAATTTGGCGAAAGTTTGATAAAACATGACTTTTGTAGAAGTTATTTTCTGGCGTTTATCTATTGGACTGATTTCAATTTTTCTTTTTCTTATGTCAATCTTACTATTATTTTCTATGGGGTCTAAAAGGCCGATATTTTATTTAGAAATCAAAAAATTAGTTAGATTTATTAGAAAAAAATAAAAAGTCGGCCTTTTAGCCCTCATGGAAAATTTGTAAATCACTAAATATCTCATAGGGTTTAATAAGAATTTTTTTTTGTTTTTTCATAATTTGCTTTACAATGTGATATCAATTTTTCACATTTTTTAGGGGGTTTTTACCCCCTTCCAACTTAGTTTATTTAAAAGTTAGGATGGGAGGGGCAGTGTAGTTGGAAAGAGCGCGCAGATAAAAAAAATACTACACTCCACCTTTTCTCCTGCGCTAAACTTGAAACTTCAATAATTTCAAAAATAGTTGTCCAAAACTCGTTATCAACCTGTCAATATTTTTAGTACATTATGCTCAACTTAAAAAGTTAATAAAATATGTACGTTACTATTTAAGTTTCAAAAGTCGCTATCAAAAAAACTAAGTTGGGAGGGAGGTAATAACAAAAAAAAAAAACAGTAAGGTTTAAGAAAATAGAAATATCATTGAAATAAAAAAAATAAAATATTTTTTTTATTATGCTTAATCTTAAGTAGCGGGTTTTTCAATAGGATATTAATAAAAGTGTTAAAGCATTTTATAGTCAGTAACTCAAGTATGTGTATACTACTTGTAGTTACATAGTTCAGATGGCGAACCACACAACTACGATGCACCACGAGTAATTTTTTCTGTTAATTTAGTCATTTTAATATCATCATTGTTATTAGATCCAAACTTAGCTATTTGTAAGCTCTAGAATAAATGCACATATTAATCTGAAAATCAATTTTTAAAATGTAGGCTACGTATAATAAAAAGTTCAATGCCATATTATTACTATAGCACCATATCATATGTGATGGTTTTTTCTGCCTCAGAGATAAAGCTATGTTCTTTCAAAAGCATTTTTTCTACTAACGGGTTGGGAGTAAGACCTTAGACCATAATATTATGTATTTTAATCGAAAATAGAACAACTTGGCATTCTGTCCATGGATGTGCGTGTGTGTGTATATATGTATTTGTTTATTCGTATGCGATTATGCAGATTTGAATTTTTCGCAGTATGTTTGTTCGGTTGACTAGATAACCTTATTGAAATTTGGTGGTATTTGGGTTTCATTTTTACTGGAATATTTTTTTCCTGCAGTAAATAAAACGTAAGCACCTGAAATTTACAATGTTTATGTTGTTGGCGGAACTAGACAATGTTAAGTCCACCCTTTAGCTCAATAATTGTGAATGTTATGACTATTTTTGCTGTTGTCATTTAAACTTACCTTAATCTTTTAGACCTTGATAAGAGATTTTTAGTTTTTACTTTTGTGATAACACAAATATGTCGACAAGTTTATGATAATAATGATGACGTTTTTTTTTCTATTTTAGCACTAGAAATGGATTCGGCTCAACGTCAAGTGGTGATTTTTGGCTAAAATCAACAAACATCAAAAAGATTACACCATGGTCAAAGCGCGCATTATGGTGGTGGATCGCAGGTGAAAGTAGAGCAGGAAACGCAAAAGAGAACTGGCGAAGAAAAACGCCGCAGTGAAATAAACCGAACAAACAGTCGACAGCTGTTGCAACCAAATAATTCTCTCACCTAATAACAATACATTTTAATATCGTACTCGCTTGAAAAAAAATTATACTGCACAAGTGTGTTTCTAGATATTTCGCAGGCCTTTGATAGGGTATGGTTTGACGGCCTCCTATATAAATTTAAAAACAATTTGCATCCCACTTATTACCTGTTTTTCAAATCTTATTTAACAGATCGTTTTTTCCAAATCCGTCATGGTTCTTCAGTATCTGATATAGCCTCTATAAAAGCGGGAGTTCCACAAGGAGGTATTCTATCTCCAGTCCTATTCAATATCTATACCTCAGACCAACCCACAACTCCTAACACAATTGTTGCAGATTATGCTGATGACAAAGCCATTTTGTCCTGTTACTCTGACCCACAAATTGCATCCGTCAATTTGCAAAATCATCTTCATTTAATGGAAGACTGGTACACAAAATGGCGTTTTAAAATTAATCAATCAAAATCAGTTCATACTATTTTTACTCTAAGACTTCTCCCTTGTCCTGGTGTCTCCCTATACGGAGTACAAATCTCCTCCTCTTCCTCTGTCAAGTATCTCGGTCTCACACTAGATAAACGACTCACATGGGCTCAGCACATTAAAATTAAACGTTTGTCTCTAAATAGCCGTCCGCGGTTACTCAAATCATTAATAAACATTAGTAAACAATAAATTAATAATCATTAGTAAACAATAAATTTACAGATATTAATACAAAACTTCTTATTTATAAAACCCATATGGACTTATGGCCTTCAGCTATGATGGGGCAATGCTAAAAAATCCAATACCAATAAAATTCAATGCTTTCAAAATAATGTCTTAAGAAAATTAATCAATGCACCTCCTTATATCTCTAATTATACACTCCATAACGACCTTAACTTAAAAACAGTCCTTGAAGAAGCTATCTCCTACTATAAAAGATTCCACATTAAACTACTCTCCCACTCTAATCCCCTTATAAAAAACCTCTCAACCTTGTCCATACCTGGAGACCCACCCAGACCTTTAAAACGTAAGTGGTGCCGTGATCTTCTATCTAATAATATCAATTAATATTAATGCATAATTAGATCAATGTAAATATAAGTTTAAAAATTAAAAAAAAAAAAAAATCATTGGAAGTGTCACTAATGAGTGGTTTCTTCCATCAAAATGTACTCATGTAATTTATCTCTACTTTTATCATATATGCTTATTGTGCTCGTTGTACAGATTGTATATTTCTGTTGTAAAATAAAAAAAAATTTTTTTTTTTATAATTAACCCCCTAGTTTTACATAATTGTCAGAGTGGCTCCGTAATGACAATCGATTTGTTGTTAATACTAATATTATTTATCCATATTAAATAATTTAATTATTTGTTATGTTCTTCTGTAATGTCGGTTCAAGTGTTTTTTTTTTTAATATAAGCGCTTGATTTTACTAAACACGCTATTTAAAAATTTGTATTTTCTGGTTTAATTAAAATTTGCCATTGAATGTATGTACGTCGAACTTATTATTACAATATCAAGTATGATTCCCCCAATATTGCAAAACAAACGTTAACTGCCCCCACCTTCTACAATCCCAGAGTACTTGGGGAAGGAGGTGGGATAAGTCTATAACAAATACTTGAAAAGATAAGTTCATACTTCATATCGACTGCCCCAACGAAAAGGGTCGTATCTCGTTTTTTGCAACTTTTCAGGATGAACCAAACAAACATTCAAATTTAAATTCTTATTCTGTTTTTTAACATATCAGTTTGAAAATTTAGATACATGTTATAGCATGTATCCATGTACTACGGATAACTTATACATCAATGATCATCTATATAAATACAAATAAGTGCTGTTCGTTGCTAATCGCATAACTTAAGAACGGCTGGACCGATTTGAAAAAAGAAACAAATAATCCTGAATGTATTAATTAATACTTTGTAATCTTATTTATCGCCTATATATATATTCATTGTTTAAATAATACATTTTTTTTATATAAAATAAATTTTCACTTAAGCCGTTATTCTATGGAAGCGACAATATTCGGTTATTATACTGTTTTTTAATATTATCAAAGTTTTAACAATTTTCGTCTACTATATTTAAAGTAAGACACCTATTTGTTTTAATAGTTTTACACCTTTTTTCCCCCTCAAGTAATCGCCAACCTTGGAGGGAACTGTTTGCACTAGTCCTCCCAAAATATTTTTACGCCTAACATAATGGATGTGTGGCGTACTCTAAACGTTAAAAATAGATAACGATGTTCAAAACACAAGGCTGTTGTTCTCCTATATTTCATTAACTACTTCAATTTAAATAATCGTACATGTTTCATTTAATATGACATAAGGTGGTTTTATAGTAATTATGATGATTTTATTATTTTATTACATTATAAAAAAATGAAAAAAAATTTTTTATTTATATGCATGTTTTAAAATGTATTAGGAAAATAAAATACAGTTTACAATAGTTTTTAATTTAAACAGATCATTTATTAACCCTTAACTGCATAATGTTGCTTCGATGCAACAACATATTTGTTGGTTATTTTGGCAGTAATAATTGTATTACAAATATATATATTTATATATATATATACCACAATTAAATCAAACAGTGATTTCCATATCTTTATGTTGAAAACAAAATTATTGATTATAACCACGACGTAGAGAAGGTAAGGTGACGTCACTCCAACCAAATCAGCGGGTCAAGAAATTACGGCATTTTGGTAGTACAATTTTGTAGCGCTACCATTCGCCCGGAGGCCGACTTTTACATGAAACTAATAGGGTTTTTTTACATATAATTATACGTTACTGTCATTTTTATGGCTAAATAAAAATATATTACATGTAATTTAATTTTAATACAGGACTATAGATTATATATTATTTTTAAAATCCACAAAAGGCGTTTTTAGTCGAACGATGACCATCCTGATCCTTATAAAACAATATTTTTTTATATACAATATTATAATACGTATTAAGTACAAGAAAAAAATTGTCCTCGACCAGTACCCCTCCCCCCCTCATATATCGAATTTTATTGCAGTTTTCGCAATTTAAAAGTTAACACAATAATATTACTTAATAGTTATTACTAAATAAAACAATAAAAATAATAAAAAACTCCAAATAAAGAATAATTAACATAAAACAATTTAAAAAATAACGTTTATCGCCATAAGCCGCATAGAAAATATCGGCCTCCGGGTTGATAATTGAATGATCTTCTACTAAGCAAACTTTACATACAACAGCGCCCACAATTTTCCCAAAACTTTTCTTTATTGCTATCGTAGACAACGTGTCTAAAATCCAATGTTTGACCAGCTCAATAAACTGGTCAACAGATTCTCGATCAAGAGTCAACCCATTACCGATTCAAAGTTGTTCTTCGTGTACATAATAATGATAAGACAAAAAGTAAATTTACTGTATATAATAAATGCTTAAAGTGCGTTGTATGAGAAAATTATAAAAACAAATACATTTCGGGTTATATTTGAAGACTCATAAAGCCAATATTTCAAAGTGAAAAGTTTAAAACCGCATATATTTATATTGCACATAGCATAAGTATAAAATACAGTATAATTTAATGCACGTGTGAGTTTTATTTAAAATCAATATATATATATATATATATATATATATATATATTATATATATTATGTATAATGTATATATATTATGAATTATTATATACATTATTATTTGCACACAGTTATTTTAGTATACCATTTAAATATGTCCGACACTATATGTACGATCTTTATGAAAATTGCTTTATGTGTAATTTCTGAACGCAAAACTTAACTTCAGCCTGTATTTTTTCTAGTTAAAGCGTGGCTTAAAAACTCAATTTAGCAACTCATATTGCTGCAATAGGCAGAAATTTAATTAAGCTGTCTGGACCACAATATTATGTGCTAATAGTGTGCATACAAACAAGCTAGGTCCATTTTGGTATTTAATGATAAACGGCTATTACAATTTCCCGTTATTTTAATTATTATTTCTCTCATAGGGCTTGACATTATTTAGCTACACGGACACATAGTCTGCGAGTGATATGTGGGAAATGTGCGAAATGTGGTTAACTGAAATTAATTAGCTAAAGTGGATTCAAAAACCCGAATTATATGAAACACAGAGGTTTTACTATGTTTAGTAATTTTATTCACTGAAAAATATTTTAATTGACTTACGGGATTATTTTAAGATTAAAAACTTCCCGATGTGATTGACTAAGTGCTATAAACAATAAAACTGATAAGTATGTGTTGATAAAAAATATAATTAAATGAAATGTATTTTGTGTTGGTAAAAAAAATTTTAATTTTGTTTTATAGATTTCTATTTAAATTTTTTGAATTAATTTTTTCATCTATATTATCTGTATTAGCTATCTATTTGCTTCTAAATAGTTTGGTATTTGTGAATATTGTGAATCAATACTGTAACTTTCGTTAACTAGCTTTATCTTTAAAAGTATTGGATTTACAATTTTACCAAACATGATAATGGTTATCTAGGTAACTTTCTAACTAGTGGATTTATATCTTTGAGTAGCTTTTCCATAAACCAAAAATAATACACTGATGCAACTTATGAGGCAACTGTACCAACTTTCCTCATCAAAAGGAGAAAAATGTCCTACACATTGATATATTAATATTACATAGGTTTTTACAAAATCAGTAATTTAATTTTTTATTAAGGATCTGAAAGTTAACTACAACTTTAAATAATATTAAACGTCTTTAATTTTTGTCTGAAAAGAAAAGCGTGGGAACCTTTAATCCAATAAAAAGAGTAACACAGAATTTTAATAATATGTTGCTGTTATAATATTAAATTAATAAAATATACACAATAGAATATATAAAATTAGCCCTCCTGGCTCAATAAATGTGAATATTAATATGAACTCAGCAAAGTACAGTAATAAACAACATAATAATAATTAACTGCTCATTTTTAATCGGATGCCCAAAAACTAACCTTTAATAATAGCATTTGCCTCTTTGGCAATAACAATGAAATAGCAATAAATCATAAATAAATAAATAAATAAATAAATAAATAAATAAATAAATAAATAAATAAATAAATAAATAAATAAATAAATAAATAAATAAATAGGTAACTATGGGTTCACTGGTAAATAAGAAAAATTCACGAATACAACTTGACACAAACAAAAGGGAACAATTAAAATATCAAAATTTAGTGGCTAGGTCGGTCCTTTTGACGCCAATAGTCTCCCTCGACCGTCATTCTTCTGGCCGTCGCAACGATGTAAAAATGTCGAATAAAATTAATTTGTATAAAACTTACAGTGAACGCGGAGAACGCAGACGGGCGAATCGCTTACCTATAACCTATATTACTAAAATTCACACACGCATACAGAAATAAACATAATTAAAACATACACAGGGAATCAAATAATACAAGTGGCGACATTACGAAATATTACAGCTGTTCAAGCAGCCTTAAATAACAGTTTGGCTATTACTTATTAGAACCACGATCCTCTAGTGAGCTAACCTTGCGCGCGTCCTTATAACAAAACAATAATATTTTACCTATTATTATAATATGTAACGATTTGAACGATAATGCAGCTCGAGTGTTATCATAATTTTAATGAGGTGACCTTCCATCATGACGGCCGGCTTGCAAATCGTTATTTTCAACGTCTAAGTGATACCTTTCCAAAGGCAATTTACACAACTTAACGACTGGTCAAAGCAGCTCTGTTCCACTCGATGTGCGTAAGCTCACAACTCGGACTATACTATCCGTCCCCGGATGTACCTTTATGATCCGCTCTTTATGATTCCATTTCGATGGTGGTGTACAGTTCTTAAGATCGCGTATTAAATACAATCGTTTGTTTAATGAAGCAATATATTGCGATGCAAATATGTATACACAGTACACACACAACTGTGTAGCACTTCATCTGTCCTTTTGGATAGCCTAACCCGGGGTAGCTCAAACAAAACCTTCTACACATATTATATTTACTGGCGTGGCGCTGTCATCTAAAAATATTGAAAAAAGGGAGATAAAATTTAACTCGAATCATAAGAGAACAGACCAAGATTTTTTCGTAACAAATATAACGGCAAAACCCCTTTCATCCGTCCCATTCATCAAGTAATCTCCTTTACATTTAATCACTTTTTCTATTACGTTTTTTTTTTTTATTAATTTCCTATTTTATCGTACAATACTACTTTTCTAATCGTCAATAGTCAAGACAATATTCAATAGAAAAAGGGTAAATTGTTTAATGATTGACAAATGATTTC